ATTTTAAAAGAATGTCCAAGATTTTGTCAGAACTGTATTGAGCATTGTCTCAATGCACAAATAGATATAATGCGGGATCTTCTGAAATTAGAAGCCTCGATATGGAGCACAGGGATTGGGAAAAAAATTGAATTACTTGGCAAAAACATGAAAATAATTGCTTTGTTACTTCCATTTGTATTGTTATAGCAAGTTGTCAAGAATGCGATACACATAGGGTGATCATTAACACAAAACAGCTATGTATAGACAATGGCAATTAAACTAATTCCCTCTAATTAGATTAATTAAACGCGACAATTGCTTCATGTTAATGCATTGTAGGCCCGTCTGATTACTGTACGGTTATTAACAATGTCTCTCCCGCTTTCATTTTTGGCGCGGAAATTGTCGCAAGTTTTCGGAAGAGGCCTTGATTAGGGGACTAATCTCATAGCCGACCGTTTGTCTTTGGTGGGTAATGATTTAATGAAGAATGAAGGTGACAATTGTTCGCCCTCAACTCAACAAATTTGTCGCGCCAAAAATGAAGTGAGGGAGACCATTATTGCACGCGTTGTCTCACTGAAACAATCGAAATTCCAGATAGCCAATGAAATGTAGGCTATATGAAATTGCACGACCCTTCTGTAAATTTTTGTTTTATAATGTTTTGTTCGTAACTATACATTATGTAGTGTAAACAAAACAAAAGTTTTTAAAACCTCCGGAATCAGATCAGAGTTTTCCTACTGTGTATAATTATGTGAATTGATCGATTCCATCTGTAAAAATGAAAACATTTGATAACTGACTTGAGTTTGGGTGATTTGCAGGATATGGGATGGGCTATTCTGTATCAATATAAAGCTATTATATTCCCTGACATGTTCATTCGAGTGTACATGCTGTATTCATTGCATCCTATTCTCTGTCGCGAGTTTAATGAACGAAACTTCCAGGATCACAGCCAAGACGTTACGTACATGTAGGTTCTAGCAAGCATGGACCTACTAGTACTACGTCCATGGTTATAGCATGAGAGCGAAATGTCAACATGCACACATATATATTATCCCTACTTCCAACTAGAATTCAATGATTAGTCAATAATTCTTATAATATCTTTTGTACATTTGACCTATATTATTTATAGTTTACCGATTTTACTACGAATACTGAAGTTCTGTATCATTGAAATTCATCCAAATTTCAAACCATTTTAAGGGCAGCGTTTTTTCTATACAAGAGAAACTTTATCAGTTTATTATATATGAATAGGCTTATAATTATATGTATTTGTTTTGTTCACAATATAAATAATGATGATAATTCTTATTTACCAAAAGTAAAAACCTCATCAGCATTGTTTATCAGTTTATTATATATGAATAGGCTTATAATTATATGTATTTGTTTTGTTCACAATATAAATAATGATGATAATTCTTATTTACCAAAAGTAAAAACCTCATCAGCATTGGTATAATTCCTCCTTAGTGCCCTGCTATTGCTTGGAACCCATTCCCTGCACTAGGGCGAGAGGTACAACAAAAAAGTAGGTAAAATACCCTTTTCAAGGGTGTAAGCACCGATCAAGGTGCTATACTAATTATCACGTATACATACATTATACACATACGTAGAGGCACGTATATAGACCAACCAATTATACCGTTATCACTGTCCATGGGTATACCAGGGATAGCATGTCCGTGGATTCACCATGTATCTATACATGTTTCTCGTGATTCGAAGGACCTGGTGGTAACACACCAGGCACTACCAGCGAATAGCCAAGGCAAGCTCACATTTGGGGGAGGAGGAAATGGACATTGTGCTCCCGGATGCAACGAGTTTCCGCCATAGTGACCCGGCTATGTGGTTTTCAGCCGACCCCATAACCCCCCCCCCCCCCCACCTCCATCATCGTCTTTTCTTTTGAGTCAATGGTAATTAGAAAGTGTGAGTTTGAAGCAGTCATGATTGATTGCTATAACACGACTCAGGTTTATGTTTATGTTGGTTGAAATAGAAACGAAATTGTCATTAAATGACCGTTATCAGAGACTGAGTGTGTGAAACCGTTTCCATGCTCACAAAATCACATTTTTGGAGAAGAGAAATATTATGGTAAAATAGAAGAAAACAATTTAAACAATTCAAAGTCAGTATTTTCTGACCACAGTTGGAATCGACTGGCCATATTTTATAGTTTGCTTGACGAGGGTAGATGGATTTGAGGATATGGTGGCATTGAGGAGACAAATTCATCAGTTAGTAGAGAGCTTGAAATGTTAAAATCAACATCGGGGAAATTCTATCCTTATTTTAAACTATGAGTATAGCATTTTAAAATGAGGCAAGAAAAACATTATTTAGAGGACAGACAGTACCTCGAATAATGTTTCGTGAGAAAAAAGAAGAATAGAAAATAGTGAACTTGCCAAATGTGCAATTCTTACTTATTTTGATCCATTTTAATTCAAAGAAAATAAACAGTATAGCTGGTGGGATTTGTAGCGGGATTGCCAGGGATGAGACGCGCTGCCGACGCATTGATCTCCGTTTAGTCCATGGTTGTAGCAATGGTGTCCGAACGACACACCTGAATGGAAAAATTAATGATAGCAGGGATGGTTTTGAGCATTAATACCCCTTATTCTGATAAAGATATTTGACTGCGTGTTTGTGTCTGTGTGTCTGCTAGGGGAGGGGGGGGGGGTGTAGTACCGCTTCTCATTTTTGCTTTAAATTTTGTTGCCCACTATTTGATTTTAAATTTGGTACGATCATGCATAGACTACATGGTACGAGCTCTGATCTTTACCCAGAACCATGATGCCAAACACTCAAGATATCACCAGAAATGATTTCGGAATATCAGCTTCCAATTATGATTTATCAGCACAATCAACCGTTACCAGCAAACCGCAAACAAGGTGTTACTGAGGTAATCGAGTAAAACTAATTCGGACCCAGACTCTTTGATCAGGTTGTTTTTGAGGAGAACATCCCTGCCGCCAGCTGGCGTGATAATCCCTTATCCGCTAGAGTCCGTCTGATATCCACCAAAGATTCGGGAGCGGATAAGCTCCTGCATCGAAGCGAAAATGGACCCTTCGTGAATATGGTCCTTTGCGACTTGTTAGCTGGAAAAACAGAAAAAGGATAAATATATGTACTGGTATATTATGCATTCAGCATTTGGAATCATTGCAGGCTGTCGAGGACAGAAATATCTCTAGCTTTTTGATGGAGAAGGTAAACAGGCTTACCTTGATTTAACAGAAGTGTTGTTTGGAAAGGTTTAGAGGGATATAAATTTGTTACGCTAGACTCGACAAAGACATAACATGTTTCATGATCCAGGGTTGGATTGATCCAGTAGACGCTCTAAATAGGGTGTGTTGGTTTTCTTTTCAAATACATACAGTTATGTTGAACAAGAATCATAATTGTGGACATGTCATTTTTTTTAAAATTATTTTAAAAAAAACCTCTTGGGTAATTTCAGTGACATTCCTCTTAGCAAGCTCTGCATGTGGAAAATATAAGAGGGTATTGTATTGGTAATACTCATGTTAAGTTGGTTTATTGGTTTACCTGACTGCTAAGAAAGCATATGCTTGTTAATAAGTAACCAAGGGACCGACATCTCTCGGGCACAAAGCGCATCAAAGTTGTTTCGAACCCGGGACCTCCCGGTTACGAGACCACCGCTCTACCACTGCGCCATCGCGCACCACTATTGGTCGTTGGTCTAATCATGTAGGTCCATGGTCTAATGGTCGTTGGTCGTTGGTGTTTATTGATAGGGGATGTGCATAGTTGTTGTATTTCACGATAAGCTCTTCTACAAATGTTTTTCAGCGTGGTTAGAATAATATCCTTTGTACATTTGTACTTTCACGTTCAAATAAAACTACATTGTTGGTCAATGTACTGATGCCTAACAGCTGATTTTTGATCGATTCTGTGAGGTTCGGAAACGACCAAGTCAATGAACTCCTATAAATTTTCAAAGAAAACGACGGAATAGTGTCTGTGAAAACTTGCTTGTTTTGAAAGTCAATACGTTGATTCATTTTGATAGAAAGTATAGGTCTACTACAAGCTGGGGCGGCACGCGATTGTGTTTGCTTTTCCTGTGAACATCGCGTTGCTATCATGGTCTGCTTTAATAAATGATCTAATCTAATGTGACTGTCGTGGTAACACAAGTTGATACCATGTCCAAGAGCTTCGAATCCATATAGGGAACCGGAGTTGGGGTGGGGGTGCTGGAGGGGGTGAAGGGGCATCTGAAAAGTGCACTTCATGGGATAAATACACAATAACTGTCTGTGTGTGTGTGTGGGGGGGGGGGGGGGGGGTCATTAATGTGAAGAAGGCATTTTTTGTCCAAAATAGATTCTCCCAAAAGCGTTACTCAGATACTTGGAGCTGAATCTCTTTAGAATACAATCGCTTTCATTTGTATAAGTGTTCGTTTCTGAGAAAGCAGGGTTTTCCAATTTTTTGCGAATTCTCAGTATGAATCGTTAAATGGCATTTATGTCCGCCTCCTTGTGGCATTTGTCTTTAAGAAAGCACATTATGCCATAGTTTGTACAAGTGTCGTTGTTTTTTTCTTCTGTCGTCTGGTTATTATTCTCTGGTAATCGCAAGACTTGAGAATCATTGTGGTGTAGGGTTATTATTACAGAGTTTCATGTCGGTTTGTAAACTATATTTTGAAGCAGTATTGTCTCATCTTTGTCTTTTTGAGAAGGAAAGTCTTTGCACATAAACGTATAGCTAGTTTATGAAATACTGATTAACAATAAGATAATTTCGTTAAAAAAAAAAAAGATTTTAAATGTTTCCTATATAGGCACTGAAGAAAAATTGTTTTCATAATTGTTAAAATTTGAGGTCAGAAACAAGCAGGACCAAATGGTTCGGGTCATATTTAAAGTTTGATCTGGTAACACCACTAATTATTTCTTTTCTTTCTTTCTTTTTGCTCCTCCTTACAGATGTCATAACCCTTCATCGGTTCTCAGTCGTCATCATCGCCAACGACCGGAACAATCGGACCAATCGCACTTCTCCTGACCCGTGACGTCATACCCGTTATCACAATGATTGACATGGCAGCCCCGCCCACCCAGCTTCACACCAGTCACTTCGTTGATATGGCCCCCATGCTGTCGCTTAAACTCGGTCACACCAACTCGGGCTTTTCCGCGATCAGCTCATCGACAGACGTGGATGCTGTAGCGAGATTCAATCCTCTGCCAACCACCAAGGTGCCTAAGCCTCGACCACCTCACATCACCCTCTCTCATCCCGGGAACGTCCCAGCTCGTTTCGATACAACCATGGCCCCGACTCCGAGATGTAACCTAGCCAGCCCTATCGTCCACAGCCCAACGCTACCGGCATCTGATCGAGTCCAAATCAAAATCGACACATCTGATGTCGAGGACTCGCTCTCTCCGACAATCATTGCCGCTCCTCAGATGATGCTAGGCGGTGCCAATCCCGACATGAAGCCAGACATCAACGCAGAGATCGGCTCAACAAATGCCGCTCAGCGAAATCACTTTTCGCCGCAAGTAACATGGACCTTCCCCACTGCGGTGAACCCCGCCTTGGCCAGCCAAGGGCTCTCTGAGCTTCAGCAACAACCTCAGTCCCACCAAGCACCAACCAACCCACATCAGCAGACATTCACCGTACATCCTCGAAGCCAGAAAGTATTTCACCTGCCTCGTCAAGCCATGCACGCACCGGTGCTGGAGCGGGTAGGCTCGGGTAAAGTCGTACGCCGAATCTTCACCAATAGCCGAGAGCGATGGCGGCAGCAGAATGTTAACTCTGCATTTTCCGAGCTTCGCAAGCTTCTACCCTGCCATCCTGTCGACAAGAAATTGAGTAAGAACGAGATCCTTCGCCTCACTATCCGGTATATCAACTTCCTGATGGAGCTCCGTGACGACCAGAGTGACGGCGATGTCGAAGAGCCAGAAGCAGTAGCGGCACCCATGGAGATTTACGAGAACATCGAACCGATGCCGACGATGGTGAAAACCGAACCCGATCCCAACTCACCAATCGAAGTCATGGGGTACCCTCCGATGACATGCGAGCCCGTCCGAAACCGAGCGAGGAGCAGCCGAAGTTCGTCCGAGAGTGGGATCGGCGATTCGGAAAGCATTTGTGGCAGCACGGGAAGCATGTGCGGAAGCGCGAACAGCGTTTATTTTAGCGATGACAACCTCTGTTCCGGTGACACCAGCCCGCCGTGGTATTCATCACCAGCAAGTGATGAGAGCCTTTAAGATACAACCATCTCTTTTGACAGATGAACTTACTAGAACTGAACTTTGTCAGATAATCACACTTGCCTTCTGGTTGTTTTGAGATGGTGACGAAAGAAACTGGAAACTTGTAAATTGTGAACATTTATGTATGCATGTTGATTCAGACATTCCTATTCTTCATTCCATATTGTATTAATCTTATTCTGAGGGCGCCGTCGTAGACTTTGAAACAATTGGAGAGACTCGAGTTTTGAAAGATGATAAAAGGAGCTGAAAAATGTAGAAGTTACGATAAAAGATGTGAACTCCAAGCTACGTGCCCTTGCAGTTTTCGACTTAAAGCTGCAAATTATTCTTGTGCGATTGATTGGATATTTTGCTACATCAGCGGACCGTGGGAGGGGGACGTAGCAAACTATTTCCTCTTTGAGACGGGAAACTTCCCGGTGTAATTGACATATTACACCGCCTGGTCTGCTGAGTTAAGGTGACCTGAACAAAAAGGAAGAGGAAAAAGTGATTGAACTCTCTCCCGATTCGCCATAATCCAATCATTTTTCGCCCTCTATCAAGGAGATCATTCCAATCTTCATTCCTTCTTTCTTCTCTCATTCCATTCGTTTTGACGTGATAGAATTCCATCTGGGAATTGCCATTCCAGCGCGCATGCGTAGTAATAACCAGACGGTTACATTCCAAGCTGCCAATCAGCGGCTAGACGTAGTGATGGCAACTATCGAATAATTAAGAAAATTGCATTAAAGCGTGTCACATATTTGTGAAAATGTATAGCGGTAAAGTGTAAGCATCAATTAATGCAAATGTGTTGATATATTTCATGTATAGTCTAATGCTGCCAAGCCGTTCTAAATACGAACGTGTTTTTACATTTCCCTGTTGTTTTAGCCGCAAAGATTATATATTCAGTGCTCTTATGTTCTTTAAAATAAATCAAGATAATGACGATTACAGATGTATTATGTTGACGATGCACTTGATTTATCTTCTGCATTGACTTTACTTTACTCACCTGGTGATAAAATTAACACACGGTATTTGTTTGATATATTTGCGGCATCAACATCCGGGTAATTAAAATAGAATCCAATTTGTTGTACCACTTTTATCAAAAGATGTCATAATGACTAAGAACGTAGAACAGCGGCTTTATTTTAGTATTGTCTCAAATTTGAAACCCCCTGGTTTCGATGGATTCGATAGTTGAATTTGTTTGGAAGTCTATTTCAGAGGTTTATAGAATATTTGTATTCAAATTATTCAAACAAATATTATTCGCTCTGTCCTTTGTGGCATTATTCTTGATTTGGAAATAAGTTATGATTCAAATGATTTATGTTTAAAAAATCTTTATGTGGCACTTGCAAAATTGATCTGATTACGATATATGTAGTCGGAATATTCCTGGATTTATAAAAATAAATCTTTTTTTCTATTCTTGTATGGGTAGTTAAATTCAATACCTCCCATGAAAACATAGAAATCACATTTTCTCTGTGACAAGATTATATTTATATACGTATTGTTATATTCTCATTTCACATGATAAGTTGTTAGATTGATATGACTGCGTATAGTCAGCGCTGAATATAAATGCATATTACTATAAGTTGCACAATGTTAAACTGACTTTCTATACAAATATATGAGGCGATCTATTATCTGCCTTTCATTGTAAAACCAACCACTGCGCTTTAGCTGCTGTATTATGGTTTATACATGTTATAGCGCGGGATGAAATTATTTGTAACTTCAAAACATTCTATTTTGTATAATCTGAATAATTCCATTAAATCATTGTTACACATTCCTATGTCCAGCAGTCATGGAAATTTGCTGAGAAAATGTATAATAGATAGGTAAGATTGATGGGTTATTGAAAAACCTAACATCACTTAAAATAATGTGTAATCTTTATCTCTTCACGATAATAATATTTTGAAATAACTTTACTTTGTCTTCTGTCTGTTGGGAACTCACTAAAAGTAATTTTCGCGAACAGTTATTAAAATGATTCTTAAAATCTTCGACAATGATATACACACCCCCTAAGAAATCTCAATTTTTCTTGTCAAGGTCATTCCATTTCTAATTTGTATGCCTATTTTTTTCGGAGCCAGCTCTAAAAACCAAGGTGGACTTACAAACAGGTGGCTTGCCAGAACATCACAGCCGCTAAAGCCAGACAAAAATGGCATAAACAATCCAGAAAAATTGGCTGCTCTGGAGGAATAAGCAGGTTCAGTGTCTGTACCTTGCCTATTTTAATGTCTGCCATTTTGTTTATTAACGAGTCGAATTTGAAATTGGGGTCAAAATTAAGAATACGAGGTGTTGTACCATATTTTGTACCACTCAACAACAGTCTAGCTATAATTGAGGCTAAAAATCGCATTACGTGGGCCAAATTTCTAAACAGACATAAACATGTTTTGTAACTTGTTACCCAGACTGTTTGAAACTAGAAATTTACAAGTTCAGTCGCACAAATAGCCTACTTTAACAATATTTCTAGTTATGTATTGGGGGAAACGTCTTCCATGTCAATACAGTTTTAGGAACGGCAATATGACCTATTATGGCATGACATTTAAGCGGATGATTTTAGACATCAATTAGAAGATGTCCATGACGGAAGGTCCTGTTTCACCAATGACGATTGGTGGATCACATTAATTGAGGTAATCATGAATCTTTATGTTTCAATAGTGAGTTCCCTTCTCATAACGGTGTTAAAGTTGTATGCATAGTAGCCAACAGTTACATTCCAAACTATTCATATTTTTCTAATAATTTGACGACTGTTTTTCAAACTTCCTACGAATGCTAAGTTTAACCAAAGAGATACTAATATCTCTTTGGTTTAACACGGGATTTTCAACCATTCCGATATGCTTCTATCATTCTACAAAAATCTAAAAGCATTCCAGTCTTATCAGCTGTAAAAGTGAAAATCAAGTTCTTTTAATTGTTGGGTGGGATGTTGCTGCGTAACGAAATTCACAAAACTTAAACAGTGAGCGGTTCGCTTTTGCAACACTATCATCGTCATAGTTAGATCATGTGAATCATTGAGCAAGTAGTGATGTAATTGTATACACGCATGTTCACAAAGTTAAATAGATTGTTCATCCTAGCATTCTTATCATTTGCGGTGGTAAATCATAGAGATATAAAAAGTAGGGGTAATGATGTACCCCTTTCGGTCCACCACGCCCCCTACATCCCTCTGGTATTGAATCAATGGACTACCCCGAACGCTTGCTCTTTGCTGTTTCAGGGGGTAGTTCTATAATAATTCGTACATCATTAGGAAAAAGGGGGCTCAAAAGGTTTTGATTTACAGACTTTCTATGTTAGAAGGAGGAAAAATTTCTGTGATACTCGTAATGTTTCAATACGTACATTTCGATATGTATGCGATATATAAATAATTGAGAAACATATTGATCTGATACATGGGAGAATGGGGGCATACAAATTCATTTCTTGGAATAATAACATTGATTATTCCTTCCAAACATTATATCAACAGTTCAACTATATTGTTATGTGTATTCAATTATATCTGATTTGTATCTTATTTGCCTTTAGATTGCTTTGTGACTGCTGTATTTGAATCAGTTATTAGTTTATAGAAGAGGAAAATTATTCCCTTGTTGATATCCGAGCATTTATTTGAAAGCACAAACCGAAACAATGTCGTCTAGCCACACTTTACCCGATCTGTCGCGATATTATGTTTATATATAGTTCTACAATTTTATGTTTGTATATTTGTTGTGTTGAAGTTTTATTTTCTATGGTTTGCTGTGACGCGGCTGGTACCGCAATTTTCTTTTCTATTTTGTTTATTTCAACTACAAGAAGAATTAAATATATTATAAAATTGTCTAGCTGTTTGACACGAAATGAAGGCTGGACGAAAGTTACAAATGTTCATTCCTATAACTATTTGCGAAAAGTGTTTATATTATTGTACATTCCTGCTATTATGCTTGCTATTTTGTGTAAAGTAGAAAATATTTTTGCACGTTTTATAATCTATTTAGATAAAAAAAAATACTAAAGGCAATGACTCGATGAATAGAATATAAGGTCCTTTCACACGGTGAATTTGATATGTACATCTACCTGCATGTAAAGCTCACGTGTGAAGGGGACCTAACGTGCATGGGAGCAATGCAATTGGCAAGGCAAGTAGATTCAGCGAGCGAAGTTTTCATATCATGTTTTGTAGACTTATGAGAAGATTCCACGTACGTACATTCCTATATTTTCATGTCATAAAAAAGAGAGTGTAAAATATAATAATAAAAAAGATAAATCATTCAAATTGACAGTCTTAGCATTACTGATTCTTTTACAGTAGATTCAATGTTGATGGATGGAGAATGGTCGATGAGAACAAGAGGCTGACGAGTGATAAAATTTAAGAAAGAAAAAAAGCTTAAATAACATATATTAAATAACGATGATGATAATGATTATAACAGAGATTCATCATTATGATGATGATTAATGTTGATAGTGATGATGATGCTGATAATATATATATATATATAATACTGATGGGGAGGATGATTATGATAGAGATGATAATGTTGTTAATGATGACGATGACTGACAGTGTTGGGTTATTGGTAATGATGGAGATGATGATGTTAAGATGAAAACGATGAAGATGGTAATGTTGGTGGTGATGGTTTTGACGATGATGGTGATGATTATGATGACGATGATGATGATGATGATGATGATGATGATGATGATGATGATGATGATTATGATGACAATAATGATGATGATGATGATGACGATGATGAATCCGGTAATATTGGTGATGATGATAAGGATGGTGATGGTGATGGCCCAAATCTCGTCACCACTGGGTGACCGTGAAAGGTCTAAATCTCGTCACCACTATTGGACGAAGCAAGGCCCAAATTTCGTCACCCTTGGGTGATGGTTAATTACCCAAATCTCGTCACAACTGAATGATGATGAAAGTCCCATATCTCGTCACCACTGGGTGACGGTGAAAGACCCAAATCTCGTCACAACTAGGGTATAATCAAAAGACCGAGTCTCGTCACCACATTGTGACGGTAAAAGGCCCAAATCTCGTCACCCTTTGGTGATGGCGAAAGGCCCAAATCTCGTCACTACTGAGTAATAGTATAAATGCCAAAATCTCGTCACCACTGGGTGACGGTAAAAGGCTCAAATCTCGTCACCCTTGGGTGATGGTTCATTACCCAAATCTCGTCACTACTGACTGATGATGAAAGGCCCATATCTCGACGCCACTGAGTAACAGTAAAATGCCCAAATCTCGTCACCATTGGTTGACGTTGAAAGGCCCAAATCTCGTCAACACTAGGGGACGAAAAAGGGCCAATGCCATCGGGTGACGATGAAGGGCCCGATTTTGACACCTCTGAGTGACGGTAAAAGGCCCAAGCTTCGTCACTATTGCATGACGGTGATAGGCCCATATATCGTCACCACTGAAGGCCCAAACGCTCGACACCAGACATCAAAAGTCACCTTAATAGTCTATGGGCTTACTCGATAGCAAGAACTGACCAGTTCCATAAAAACATATGAAACTAAGAAGTTCCTTAACCATTTTAGTCAAAAGCCTTAATATGACTATGCAAGCCGTTTATTGTAGCAACATTTCAATGACAATAACCGATTCCCTAAATAAACCCCGGTGTATTCATCGACACCCTCACGTCACAGAACAATGTATTTCAACGAATAACGAAGTTTTGAAAAATAAAACGTTGACTAAGTGATGCGTTGAACGTTTAAAGGAGTAAACGAACGAGTGTATTCGAATGCTAAGCCGAGCTCAATTGTAAAATCAGGTGACACGACTTGACTCCTTTATCCAGTTTTACACCTATGATCCATCTGGAATCAGTCGCAAAAAGAAATATATACAGGTTCTCTTTCGACACCTTCGATTAGTCCGACAACCCCTGAGATTCCAGGTAACGAACTCTTTCCTTTAAAGCGAGGATAGACATGATCTTTTGAAGCTAGAAGTAGAACAAGGAGAAGAGACTGATAGTGAAAGGGATAGCGAATCTTCACCTCGTATTTTGCAATGACTTCCTGTATTGCTATACACGACGAATGCTATTTTAATACTGAATTTACAACTTCTTATAGTATGATAGGATATTAATTCATGCTGCAACTGTGACTATTACGTATGCTACTGCTACTAGTACTTAGTACTAATATTTCTGCTGTTGCTGCTGCTGCTGCTGCTTCTACTGCTACTACTACTAAAGAGATAAAGAGAGAGAGAGAGAGAGAGAGAGGGGAGAGTCAGTTTTTATGACGTCATTGATACGCTTCAATGAAAGTCTTGTGATCTTACTCCTGCATGAACGAAGTCCATGTACATTCTCGATCAAGATCAAAACGTCTAACACGTTTCTGCACAAGTCAGAAATGGTTAAATATTATTCCAAGAAATAATTCAATCTTTGCTGAAATAGGACTAAAATAATTGAACTCATGAATGTATATATACAGTCATTATTATTATCATTATTAATAGTATTATTGCTATTATCATTATCATCATTATTATTATTATCATTATTATCATTATTATTATTACCAAAAGTTTACCTTAATATTATGCAATTTAGAGATAAAATATACATTTGGTATACACAACACGCCAATCTTGTTAACGATGTCTCTTCGCTAAAATACTTTAAAGAAACGCTTTTTATTATATAAAAAATGGTTATTAAATCAAATCCCCCCTCTTTCCCCATCTTACTATTATTCATTATGATGCCCATAATTACTCCTCTCCAAAGTAAGACATCGGGAAAGGTCACCAATGAAAGACGATACTTTTGCTCTCGTGATAGGGATATTATCTTCTCCTCGTTAGATGGTAATAGCAAAATAGTTTGGTTTGTCTACGGTCGTCATTATAAGCACGTGATGGGAAGATAAACGTTCTATTTTCTTGAGGCGAAGACGTTTTTACTTTTTACTTCAGGTAATTACTTAGATTTATCTTTTGAGATGAAGGATGCTAGCGGCACTCATTAATTTCGTCGACGAGAGTCTTGTGAGTGTACTAAAGGGACGGGAATGGATATACAAGGGAGAGTGAGAGAGGGGCAAGCTAGGAGAAGTCAGGAGAAGTCAGGAGAAGTTCAAAACCCAAGAAGCCCCTCCTACCTCCTTCAAAACCTTAGAAGCTTGGACATGATGAGGAAATTAAGAGATTTTGTCGAAATAATGAATAGTTAAGAAATAGAGAGGGAAAGACAAATGCAGAGAAATAAACGTTGGGGTATCGGCGTAGAGAGAGGGGAGAGGTAGAGAGAGTTAGGGAGTGAAAGATAGAGCGAGAGAGAGAGAAAGAGAGTGAGAAAGAGAGAGATAGAGAGAGAGAGGGGGAGAGTGAGTGTGTGAAAAAGGAGGAGGGGGTGGCCGGCCGGCGGCGTCGGATTTGACGGAGAAAGGGGGGGGGGGGGAATATAATTAATGCTTTAATACGATGGGGGAGATAGAACCCGAGGGCTGTAGTCACAATATGAGAGAGAAAGAAGGAAAGAAAGAAAGAGAGGGAGATAGAGAGAGAGAGAGAGAGAGAGAGAGAGAGAGAGAGAGATAGAGAGAGAGAGAGAGAGAGAGAGAGAGAGAGAGAGAGAGAGAGAGAGAGAGAGAATATTCATAAGTCGAAAGAGATATATAATTCTTGGTTTCAAATCGCAGAACTCTCATCCAATTTCACACGCCTCTACCCACTACTGCATCTACACCAAATATGAACTCGGTACGTCTGCATTCTATTGGAAATCCAACAGCCTACTATCTAGAGTATAGATATCATAATTCATATAAAGCTTATATAATTGTGTTAAGCGGTCTACTCGGTATTGAGATATCCGAGCAGACAGTTGATTTATAAGCCCAAATTGCGTTTCAGTTTTCGGAGGAATTTCCTGGAAATTTTATAACATCCGGGACTCTGCGAATCATCGCCACCTGTTTAGCAAATCATTCTGGTTCTTGATCTTTCGCACCAAGATTTCTTTTTTATCGATTTTTTCTTATTTGGAATAGAAAAAATAGCTATAAAGCAAAGGTCAGTCCCCAAAATTGAAAAAACGGGATGTAATTTTCCTTACTCTACTGTAACACTAAAATACCATTATGTTATGAATCTCTTATATTTTATTAATCAATGAAGGGAGTACAATAATTATATGGAAATATAATTGTTTGTAATGGAGTAAAGGCAACAGTTAATAACTTTTTAAAGTGTACGTTAATTTAGGTATAATGATGTTCTAACATAGAATTGATAATCATATTTCATGATATAGTTTAATTCATTGATATACTAGTCTTTCGTTTGTATTGTGTATCTAGTAGGGATGAAGTCATAATAAAGATCACTGGCTTTGGAGTCGAATCCACTCCTAACTATATTGCAATCCACTATAGATTAGAGTGAACTCCACTATCTGTAGCATGGGTTTCCACTCCAAATTAACTGATTCCTAATATGCAGTTTGGAGGGGATGGGGCGGGCTAACTACTGGTCTAGGTGTGTTTTTGTGTTTTTCTAGATGTCTTCCTTTTTACCACTATAAATAGAATTGCTATGATTTTTGTAATGTACTTTATCATTTCATCCAATTTGCAGCACCCAAAAGTAAGAACAGTTTTGTCACGTTAACAAAGCAGAGGGGGGGGGGGGGGGGGGGCTATCGATGTTATGATATGTACTTTGTATTGTTTAGTGTTTTGTGTTTGTGAGTTGGAAAATAAAAACCATACCATACCATGACCATGACTACCCCAAAGTAGATTTCCACGCATGCGCATTATGAGTGAACCTGTTTGAAATAGGAATGTTCCAACTGTAGTCATGAACTCAATAAACACGAGTGGAGTTACTACGCTACGTGAGGTCAAAGACTGATATTGAACCCGATTTAAAGATGAGCTTAGAAAATATTTCCCCGAGATCCAGCTCCAGAAACGGATTACTTGTCGAGGGCAGTTAAACAATTTAGCAACCCTCGTGAAGTCATGTGGATCTTTGAAGAACATGGAAAAGTCATGGTCTATTTTTAGATCCCCAAGGGTCGGAGTCATTTGATCTGAAATACTTTCTAATTTACTCGAGAAAGAAGGCGAACCGTAAAAAGGAAAAGAAAAAACATCCTTTGCTCTACAAACCACCCGTCTTATGCTTAGTCGCAAATAAGAAAGGGAGAGGCGTATGAATTATCATTACATTTTGATTGGACACGTGGGGGTGATGACGTCACGTTA